ATAACCGTGGAATTAGGCAGCGTATACTTAATAACAAAAAAATGTATGCTTAATGATAGCGCAACTTTTTATAGTCAATTAATGCGAGGTGATTCCGTACGATTTATCGTTCACAAACAAGTCGTACGGATGCGAGCGCTGTGTGATAAATCCAACGTGATTAAGTTACCAACGACGCGATTTATGTGGGGAAACATAGCGCACAATGTGCGGATGGACGGACGGCACATAAATGTCGTAAATTTATCGAGGTAAATGTAAACATTATGAATCTGCTCGCGCGTTGCTGCGTCGAATCAGTCGCGGTGCTCGCATTTTCTATTTTTTATGAACACTGAGATTTTTATGACGTACACACACACGCGCGCGCGCACGCGCATTACAATGCATTTCAATAAAGCTAATTTCGAGAAGGGTATTAAAAATAGCGAGATTAACAGCGTATTTTCGACACTTGAGGAGAATTGAATGTGGACTTTAATATACATAATGGGCCGCGCGTGTATTTTGCCAACGGAATGAATTTCTCTCGAAAAGGAAGCGTCGTCTTTATTTAAAGCTGAAGCGCTCTCTCTAGCGTATTAAGTTTAAAAGCCACGTTTTCATGTAACATTGAATTACCGTAGGTCCATAATCAGCGCTCTTACGTCATGCTATTTAATTTTGTTACTTCGCGCAACATTTTCCCTCGTTCGGTTCTTAATAATTCGCATACTCGCCCCCCCCCCCCCCGGATTCATTTCGTTGTCCGTGCTGCAGTCGTTATCTCCCGCCGTGCGTTTCCGTTCATTATAATTAAAGTATTTCGCACTTGAAACTTCGCACTTGAAACTTCGCACTTGGAACTTTTCGGCGTCATTTCAAATTACCGTGTGACTCGGTACCGTGTAGAGAGAAAGTGCGAGGAACGATCGACATGTGACGTTCAACAATTAAGACGCGCTGGAGAGACGAGCCCTCGTGGCACTTTAACAAAGTCTAGCGATACCTTTGTACGTTGATTTCAGAAATTTATAATCTTAAACAGAGATATCATAAAATATACAGGAAAGTTCCATATTTCAAACAGAAAAAATTTATTTAGGTTAAACAAATGAGATACCTAGGAATCATGTTTCTTGGAATCTGCTAAATTTTTATTTACTTTATTTACTAACACATTTGCTAGATTTGAAGAAATAGATATGAATTTTCCTAGAAATTTCAGTCTCGATCAAATAAAAGTTTGGACAAGGTAAAGAAATGATTTCTTTGGAATTAAATAAAAGTCTAGTGAGGTCACAATTCAAAGAAAGTTTGTTTGATTTCAAAGAAACGTATTTCTGGGTGTAGGCTTCTAGTATGAGATGGCAGGTTTTCAACATACAAATTCAATCACAATCCTTTCATCGCGGCGATTACACAATGCAACGATGAATTTTCCACTAAACAGATCTCACTCCAAGGGCAATAAATTCCTGGTGAAACTAGCAGACGATGCCTATTAATTTAGAAGAAACCCCGTTGTTTCATATTAGGAACCTGTCTCATAATAGGGGACTTTCCTCTATGTATTAATTACTGGCAGTAATCGATTTTTCCCTGCATGACACTAGACAGAAATTTGAATGAATAACGATATCAATGATTTTCCACGGGCATCGCCGACCAACATCAAATAAACGTTTTTTCGTTGTCGCGAGTCTATGCGATTGGAAAAGCGAACAAACGCGCAAATATATTATTCGTTGGAAACTACTCTTGTTAGTTTTAAACAACCGAATACGTTTGTCATAGAATTTGATGATTTTGACGTTAATCACGTTCTGCTCTCGTTAAATCACAGGATTAAAGTTATAATTCTTTTCTCCTGATTTTTTTACGTTCCCGACGATAGAGAAATCCACGACAATCGGCTGAGCAGCAAGATTGCTTCGAATTAATGAAATTCCCGACAGTGCGTAAGAGAGGCAAACTAGCTGAAACGAAAGCGAGAGGCGAACGGAACGATCTCGGCCGAACTGCAGCAGGTTCTCCAATATTTCATTAAAATTATTTGGAAAACCTGCAATAAAAAAGTCGATCGCGGCCGCTCGGTACGGAACCCGCTTTTATCGATAAATTGGCGCTCGTTTTACTTCCTCCTTGCTTGTGCGCCCTCTCTTTTATTTTATCGCGGCGCTCCCGCTGCAATTCGTGATAGCTTCAGCTTGTTCCCGACGTATAACTGCGCCACTCGCTGTGTTTCTAAATTGCATGATTTAATTCCGTCAATATTCGCGATTTTTAAACGAAATGGCAAATGCGGAAATAACGAAGGCTCACTTTCAAAATCCCCTCTTCGCGCATTATCGTGAAAGACCGGAAGTATTTGTTATGCAAAGAATATTACAAAAGGCGAATGTATTTCTTTCATAATTTTACCAAGTAATCTGAGCTACGTGGAACGATACGGAAATCACATTTCCCGGTTATCTCATCCGCGATCAATGGCAGTCCGAATCTCGATAAATTGGCCTATTCAGAAACTTCCTAGGTATTCGCGTCGTCGTTCACAGTCACGTAGGAAAAACTCATGAAAAATTCAGGTCCCTCCTTTATTAAATAGAGACCCGGGACAGAAAGGATTTAACGTTGCAACTTCCTTTCTCTTAATCCCATTCGCCGGAATAGGAAAAGTATACTCCGGTCGAGGAGTCGGTCGCGTCGCGGCATTAATCAAGGCGGCTGCAAAACGGCGGGAGGGAGGGGGGGGGGAGGGGGGGCCCCACGACGCCGGGGGTGCCCCGCGGGGGGACTAAAAACCGGGAAGGGGTTCGCGCGCGCCACTCGTTGGGTGCCGACCCAGGCCCACTCCCACGAAACCGCCCCCCCCGAATTTCTTTTTTGCAACATTCCCCCTGTCCCCCCTCCCCTGAGGGGGAGGCCCAGCCCCTTTTCCTCCCCCCCCCCCCCCCCCCACGGCATCAATAGTCTTCGATCGCCCGGACAACCCGCTTCGAGGTTCTTTACGGCGTTTGCCATCGAGCTTACTCCTTTGCATTAAAGTTAATAAAGCAGCTGCTTGAATACGCTCAACTTCATTATTTCGTTCGGGTAATTCGTCCTCGAAATAGAACGACGAGGAGAACGATGACGACGACGACGACTACGACGGCGGCGACGACGACGGCGGCTATGGCGACGGTTGTACCGCTGTTTGATGTAATTATTGCGGGATTGTGGGAATAAAAGTGAGGAGGGGACGGCCTTTTACGCGGCTATTTCATTTTCCAAGGGAATGCCTTTTTTGTTACGTCACGAACGACGTAGAGATAACCGTGCTGTCTCGCTGCTTTTCCCAAAGGTGTCCCTCGTCTCGTAACATTTTTCCGCGAATTCGCTATTGGAACGCGCGACTTATATCCGGCGATGCAAACGTACCTCCGCGAGATAACCAAATACCCGGCGATAACTTGCGATAATACAGATCTGAATTCATGCAGAAGTTGCGGGTTCCTCGATTTGCTCGGCGTGTTAAAAATTGCGTATTCGCGCATTGTCAATATCCTTTTGGTGAAATCAGGATTAATTCAGGGCTCCTTTAACAATAAGATATGAAAAGGCGATAATAGAGTGACCATTTCTACCAAACTACGTCTTTATCGGTGTCCCCAAATCTTTTACGCAAAAATTCTCAAATTATTGCACGTCTCCTAACTATTGATCGCTCAATACCGAAACGTGACATTCGTTTCATTGTTAATTTAACTTGCGTTATACGCAATTGGGAAAAGCCGCAGCACTATTAAAGCAGTACATAACGTTATACAGGGTGTCACGGATAAGGTGTCCATCCGCTCGTATACAGGTAGAGTGGGTTAAACTGAAGAGGAAAGTCATGTACCATTTTGCAAAATTCCCAACAGTTATCGAGTAATTAATGAGATCGTCTGAGCGAATAAGCGCGAGGAAAGCGATAAGTCGGACTCGGGATGCTGGAGTGATTCTGCATTTTTGGCACCTTTTGCTCCTAGAACTGTCAATTCGTGAAAACATTTGTGTAATATATCTACAAATTATGTGGCTTTTGTGTACGAACCGAACAGTGTTCCACTATTCGGACTAAATCAGAGAACAGCATGGTATCATTGAAATTGAGTTTAGAAGCCTAACAAAAATCTATTATTATAGATCTAACCTATAACTCATTCGAGTGAATAGACTTCTTGTTAAGCTCCTAAGCTTAATTTCAACGGTACCACGCTGTTCTTTCACTTAATCTGAATAGTGGGACACTGTCGGTCTGTACACAAAAGCCACATAATCTGTATATAACACAAATGTTTTCACGAAGTGACAGTTCTAGGAGCAAAAGGTGCCAAGAGTGCAGAATCACTCCAGCATCCCCTTAAGTGGCTTATTTGTTTGGTCCTGTAACGGGGTGAGGGACGAGCTTCGTCCGAAGCTCGCCGCTCGCTGCGCGACAACTTTTTTCCGCTTTTTTTCCGGTGCGTCGCTCCACCTCCCGATATCGGACGCCCACCGTTGCTACGAGACTAAACAAATAAGGCATTTAACGCGCTTGCCGCGTCCGGCCTACTGCTTGCCGCGCGTTCATTCGCCCAGATGTTTTTATTCATCGCTCGAAAACTATTGCGAATTTTACAAAATGGTACCACATCTTTCCTCTTTAGTTTAACCCGCTCTACCTGCATACGAACGGATGGACATCTTATCTGTAACACTATAGAAACCCCGCTATCCCATATTAGGATCCCGTCTCATAATAGGAGGACTTTCCTCTATAAATCAGTCGTGCGGAAAAGAACTGCGTGAATTAAACTTAATTTCTTTTTAAGCGCAAAAACTTTGATTATTGTGTTTCCAATTTCGAACTCGCTGGTACATCCGTGCAATGCGTCTCACAAAACTTTGCTCGTAAACTGCAAAAATTTCGTTTTTATTCGTTCGTTACAGTTTCACGCTCTTTTCGACATAACTCGTTCGCACGAATGAATCAGTCAAATGTTTTCACGTACCAATTGGACGTACAGCTCCTCGCTCAGCGGTAATTTGACAGTCCGACGAACGATCCCCGACTCTTTCGTCTGAAAAGTGAATAACAGTGACACGTCAGTACTCTGCGTCGCATTTCGTTGTCGCGTGACATCGCAGATTCGCCGGGAGGATCTGTCGAAAGGCTCAAACGTCGGCGCGCAACGCGATTTCCCGTTGTTACTCCGTGAAATCACTTCTCCTCACTTGTCCCCGTCAATCTGGATGCGGGATCTTTACGGGCAACGTGTTGATTTCGCGACAGATCCTCCGAAGCGATTACCCTTTGCTGTCGCGAGAGACTCGCGGAGAGAAAGATATCGGGGGTTGCGACTGACGCAAGTCGCTTCCGTAAGTTCCGCAAAGTCAAGTCGCTCGAGAAGATCGTGGCGGGTGCTTACATATTGAGAACTCTCCACGGACGGGTGGGAGCCTTGTATCTTGCCGCAGCTATGAATAATTATTCCACGATACACGATCCACCGCAGCGTAACGTAACATAGTAAATGCCCGGAAACTCTGCGGGGGGTCGGGCGCGCCGGCTAAGGAGTATGCGGGGTTATAACTCGTTTAACCCTTGCACTATGCGTAACGCGAGGCTGCGATGGGGCGCAACCTTTCCTCTGAATTCCAATCGTTTCTTTTTTGTCTCTTTATCATAGCTTCTCTCGCGGTCGTTAGATCAAGATATCAATACGATGCGCTCTCGGATGGAATCTCCGTCGTGAAATTCTATGAAAAGCGTCCATTCTCGAGCTGTGTTTTTATGCATTCCGCGTTCCAACGAAAATAGAGGGATTGCATTAGAATGTTCTGAACCTCGCAATTTCCACCCCGGGCGTTTCATGATGATCTCGCAGATGGTATCGCCAACATTGTTGCGGGATGATCGGTTTTTCTCGTAATCGATATTTAGGACGAGTTACGCGAGGAAAGATGGGCTTTGAGGCTCAAACACGGTTAGTTGTGGGTGAGTTAACGTCATGCAATTGTTAAATGATCTCAGGCTTTCCGAGCATAACATATTCAAAAGTTGAATGTATGAAGATGGTATAATTTTCAAAGGAAAATACCAGAGAAATTCTGCTGATATCCATAGCTAGTTTTCCATTTCTAATCCGAATATTTCGCAGACTGTGAATATTAGCAGAATTTTTCTGCTATTTCCTCTGGAAAATTACATTATCTTAAATATTCACCTTACGCTCGTCGGAGAGCTTGAGATTACTTATCTATCATCGCATCGCTGTCGATGGCGCGAAGTAGAGTCGAAGCGTACGATTTTGAATTACTAATTAAATTTTATATGAAAAGTATTTTACCTGCACTGAAAAAAAGCTCCTGTCGCTAATCATGGTTTGTTAAAGATATTTTGCTGCCTATAAGTTTCTAAACCACAGCAAACGGTTTGCTGTCGCACGTAACACAATAAACACAGCAGCAAAATATTTAGTTGTCCATCTTTTACAACTGAAATTTAGTCACCACATGCAGTGTTTAGCTACGGCAGCTACACGTTTCCTTCCATGTGGGAGGTCTAGGTTCAAATCTTGGCTGAGGTATTAATTTTCGCAATTGAAAATAAAAATTATTTAGACACTAACATCCTGTCTCGGCGCTTACTCCTTTATTACTTCATATTTGCGTTTTCACATTAGAGCTTCATAAATTTTATTCATTGATTAAATTTTATATAATGTTAACTCACGCAGAGCCAGCCGCGTTTGGCTCTCGAGCCCACTTTTTCCTGTTACTTGTTAATTTTAATATCAAGAATCTTTAGGACATCCATCATTTATATCAATATTTATAACTAACCATAAACTTCTCCTCTGATGGATGTATCAGGTATTGAACTTTTGCTTTCACAGTTCACTACATAATTTATGACTTCTCGCGATTTATCTTAGTTTCTTGGTCTTCCGAAAAGACCGAAGGTGAGTGTGTCATTATTATTAAATGTGGAGTCGGAGTTTGTCGCTGCAATAATTATTTCTCCAGAAATAAACAATACGTTTTTGACGTATCAAAGAACCCTTTATCGACCGGATTATTTTCAAAAGTAAAGTAGAACGTTCCTCGCCAAATATTTGTTCGAATGAAAACAGTGGGAAGATTAATGTAAATGCCACTTCTCGAAATGCGATAAGAATCGAACATTATGGAATTATCAAATATAAAGACAATTTAAAACATGCATTTCTTTAAGTATTTACTAAATATCAAACAGTAGATAATTTCAAATTTAAAAATGTTACTTTAATTCTATAAAATGTTTACTAAGATATAAGTTTTACAGCGAAGAAAATTGGATTTCTTACCTGACAAAAACAATGATTTTGTTTAATAAATAGTATTCTCTGTCTCATGAAATCTTTAGTTGAATGTAAAAAAATGTAAATTATTTAAATTAATTTACTTAATATAATATACAGATGTACTTGTAATTTGATTTTTTAAAAATAGAATTTAAATAGAATAAATACTTCACAGTGAAAAAACAATTTTTAAGTAAATCTATTTACTTAGTTTAAAAACATTTTTGTCAGTGTATAATACAGGACTTTTCTTTACCACTGCAATTATCAGATAATGGCCGTGCGTTGAGAAGTCGCTTCTAGGGCGAAACAAATTCGAGAATAGAAATGCACTATCAGAATTGAGCAAGGCTACATTTCAAAATCAGATAATCTGCAGTGGGAAGGATATCCGATGATTCTGGGGGACACCCGAATGCATCACCCAAACATTTTCCCGTATTCTTCTATCAGATCCTTCACCGTCGAGGCCATGTTATCGTTGGTGCGCGCGCGCGCGCCCGCGCGGCGTGTCTTTCTCTTGTTAGATAAATTCCCCGGCACGTTTGTCGAGAAATCGTCCCTGAGGTAGAGTAATTCATCGTCTCTCTCGCAAGTAGGTAGGAAGGTACGTCCGACTCGACGGAAAAGCTTTAAAATTCGATCGAGCCAACCCGCAATTTCCAACGAGCGCATATCCCCCGGAGGTGGTGCACGTAGCATGGCCGACACAGGTGGGACGGACAAATGCATTCAACGCATCGAAAAAAGTGGGGGGGGGGGGGAAGGACAGCGGCCGTTAGTAAAAATGGGTCGCCGTGATGTAATTTTCCATTTCCGTCTCCGTCCCTCGTCCGCTCTTTGTGATAGGAGGGAACGGCAAAGAGCAAAAAGGACGAGGTAAATCGTGGTTTGTTAACCCGCATAACTCGCATTATCCCCGGGTGGGGAGGGGGGGGGAGAGTCGTGCCGCGGAAGACATTCCGCCGGATGCGGAACGACATTCCGCGCTGCCTGGACCGTCTGCTCGCCGATGCCGCGGCGAAACATCGGGATTCAATGTTGAAATTGTCGACGGAGAGGCGGAGGAATTACACGTGAAGAATTGATGCCACTCGAAACGGGAGAAAATTGCGAGAGCGGGTCGAGGAAGAGAAACGTCGGCGCAGTCGTACCTGGCTGGTACAATGACGTCTACTGAAAGAAACACCGCCTGCACGGGGGAAAAAAGAAAGAAAGGGGGAAGTCAACGCGGAAGCGTAGGTGATTTCCCCGTGGCCGTTTCAGAGAAGCCCGGTGCACGGCGAGGGAAACAAGCGACCAAAAAGAGCTATTCAGGACGCGTACCGTTGTCGCATTATATATATTTCCAATTTAAGGTCGGAGTTTATTTAATACGATATCCGAGTGTCGTTGGTCGACGAAAGGAACGAGGGGGAGGGGGAGGAATACTTTTGTACGTAAGAAGCGGGTCTTACCACTTCGTGGCGATATTGCTTTCTCCCGAGAAAGGAAACGATAAAGGACAGCGAGGGGCGCGCGCGCGCGCGCGGGAGGGCGGCGTTGTAAGCTCCGCGGATAATCCACGAAAACTTTATTATTACGCCGAAAATTCCCGGACTCGATCGGGAGCATAATGCGCGATACCATCCGGCGCGATTGAAAATATTAAAAGTCGTTGCGGGAGTGCCGAGCCGTTTCTACGCTCTCCTTGACGCTCTTCTGCCTGGCGAACTTTAGAGCCTCTCGTCGGGGCCCGTCGTTCCCCCGACGTGGAAAGTCATGTACCAATATTAATTCTAATTAATTGCAGAGCGCGACAGCGAGCAGAGGGCCGGGAGAGCTCGCTAGACGAACGCTCGACGAGGTGGATCTTTAACGCATCGCCGGGACGGAAAAAGCCAATGTGTAAACGTAACGACGCTCGAGGGAGCTATCGATCGAGACAGGATCGTCGTGCCCTTCCCTCTCTCTCTCTCTCTCTCTCTTTCCTGCCTCTCTATCTCTCTCCTTGCCGAAAATCCACCTCTCACCGGAGATTATCGCGAGAATGATAACATCATTCCAGAGATGAGCTTGCGAATGAAGTTGTAATGTTACGGTCACGTCAGCTCGCTGTGCGTTGTTCGTAATTCAGTAGAATTTGCCGCTAGACCGAGCAAAAGGGCGAGGAGGATCCCTTACACGGATAATAATTTCCGGATTTGCATGTGTATACGAGATACCGAGCGTAAATCACACCGCGCTCCAAATAAACGAGCCGTTTCCGCAGCGAAATTAGCATTAATTTACACGCATGGAAAAACGAGTGAGCCATCGTCGGCGCTGTTGCAGTAAGAAGCCGGCGACTCGAGGCGTGGAATAAACGACGTCCGGGTTCTGAGAGTGGTCAAGTCGTTTAGTGAAAACATTGGAGTTAAAGCAGGACTCTCGCTGAAACCAGGCAAGAAACAAGAATGGCCGAATAGGTAGCCTATACTAATTTTTAATAAACTGCGAAACGGATACATGAGTTCGCAATTTATTAAAAAATTACAAGTAAAGACTATCTACATCCTGCCCTGACTCGCATTGGCCATTCTTGTCTCTCATTTAGTGAAACTAATGCTTTCTATGTTTCAAAAAGGAGGATGGGGAGAGAGAGAGAGAGAGAGAAAGAGAGAGAGGATTGAGTAGTCGAGACGAAATAAAGGAGGGCAAACGAATCGGAGAACTGGGTGGTAGTTATCCGAAAGTTGGCTGTGTAATTACATAGG